TGCACCGGCTCTGCAGGGGGCGCAGTGTGAGTCCGCGAAAGAAGCCGCGGGACCCCTGTTCCGCCCAAGGAGCTGCCAAGGAGGCTCGTGGCCCCAGGTCGCCTGAACCACCCCGCCACTTTCAGCCCCAAGGAGCAGCTCCTCGGAGGCAGAGCGGGCGTTTATGAACGAGAGTGTGCAGGGTTTCCTCCAGGGGGCACTGCAGGGAAGGGAAGGACCGAGAGGCCGCCGCCCTGGACGAGGGGCTCCAGCCGCATTCCCGCGGGGGGGTAGATGTCCCCGTGTCCCGTCTTACGGGAGGGAACTGCTCCAGCAGTACAGAGTTTGCTCAAGGTCTGGAAACTGGAGCCAGAATTGTGAACGACCTCATGGCCAGCTTGTCCCTAAGAGAACCTCAGCCACTTTCCCCTCTACAACTATGATCTTGAAGTGGATATTAACACAGGGCCTGGCACTGGTAGGTGTTGAATCATTACAGAGTGAGTGAAATGGCACCGTCTGGGAGGTGAAATGACACGTCCAAGGTGGCACAGCAAGAAGCATGGTGGGAACCAAAGGCCCTCCTGTCGGACTCAAAGCCAAGAGCACTTGCTGAGCCACATGGGTGCGAGCAGGACCCACCCTGGGGCCCCAGAACCCAGTAGCGGGGTTGGTGCCCACACCCCAGAAGCCCCAGGAGGACGTAGCAGTGCCAGGTGCACCCGCGGGCCCTCACCCTGGATAGCCCCGTGCTGGACCATGTAGAAGAGTGCCCAGCGCAGAGTGGTGGCCGTGGTGTCGGTGCCTCCCAGGAACAGGTCTGTCACCACCTGGATCAGGTTATCCTCGTTGAAAGTGGAGACAGGGTCGTCCGTGGCCTGGCAGGTAGGGAAGTTGGGGGCAGCTCTGGTTCTGAAATGCCCCCCGGCAGAGCAACCTGCCCCAGGACTTGTAGGACCAGAAGTCCTTGGGAGCCTGACCCCTCGGAAGGGCCCGAGCCCCAGGGTGCATTGATTTTTGGAGGGGGGCTGCCTGCCCTGGGGTTCTGACCCCAACATCAACCAGGCCCTCTGCTTCCCACCCTCCCTGAGTCTGCAGAAGCTGGCCCTGGCCTCCACCAACATGGGGAGGAAAACCCCACCATGCCCAGTTTCTGGGGGCCCCAAAGCCTTGCAGACAGAGTCTAAGATGAGGAACTGAGACCACGGCATGGAAGAAAGCTACAGCCCAGGAACGGAGCCTCCTCGCTCCCTCCGCGCCACCCCAGGCCCACCTCAGCCATCTGAGCCAGGTAGCAGCTGATGAAGTCCTTTGGGGCTCCGGGTCCTCTGAGCTGGTGCGCCGTGATCTCCTGGCGGATTAAGCCTCGCACGGCCTCTTGGTACCTAAATAGCTCCTGCTGAGGTCCCGGGAGGTGGCGGAAGGCCCAGGGAAACATGTCGTACAGCTGGGGAGAGACCCCATCCAGGCCTTCTCAGGCACCAGCGCTGGAGTCGGGGCTGCTGAGAGCTGTACTGGGGGCTCCAACCTGGGCAATCCGGGGCTGCCTCTCACCTGAGACCCCCCAGATCATCTAGACAGACACGAGAGCAGAGGTAGCAGTGACTGTGCTCAGGGCACGGACAGGACAGTGCAGGCCCAGAGACCTGTCTCTGAGGATGAAGCCTGCTTCTTACTCCCGTCTGTGCAGCCAGCCGAGCCGCACAAAGGAGGTTTGGGGCTGTGAGCTCATCACCTTCCAGAGCAGAGGCCGTCTGAGGAACCAGGCTCAGGCCCCACAGCCTCCCTCCTGCCCAACTCCCACCTCTCTGCCAGGCCCTGGCGAGGCCCCTGCCTGTCCCCTGGCCCCCAGCCCCTAGTGGCCCACAGGCTGCCTCCCCACAGGCCAGTTACCCGGCGCCACACAGTGCTGACAAAGGCCAGGCCGAAGTCGAAGGCTTGAATCAGCTCCTGGAGGATGGGTTCCTCTGGGAGGAAGGAGCGGCCAAACACCAGGGCCCCGATGACTCTGGTGGTGGCCCTGACAACGGGCACCTGAGGGTCGAAGGGTCCACCTGAGAGCAGAGGGCAGGGCTCAGGTGAGGGGGACAAGTAAGCGGCCCACCGAGTGCTCCTCCCATCTTACACTGGGCCGCTCAGCTACCTGCTCACGCGTCCACGCCCTGGGCACATGCTTACTGTACGCTCACGCGTCCACACCCTGAGCACATGCTCAGCTACCTGCTCACAGTGTGCAGGCAGCTGGCAGCACGGGGGTGGGGGTGGCTGAGGGATTCTGAGGACATTTCGGGGGGCTTTGGCGGGGGCTCTGCCACATCTGATGGGAGTGGTGGGTTCAAGCGTGGAGGAAGGGGTGCAGGCCAGGGCACTGCAGCAGGGGCAACAGCATGTGTAAAGGATTGGCCGTGTAGACAGCTCGGGTGCAGGTGGAGAGCACTTCCCAGCTACAGTGCAGGCCTGTGGCTTCCCAGTCACCAGGGCATCCCTGGGCCTCTGCCCACCCACTTGATGTTGCTCAAAACTGCTGGTAATGTTCCCAGGCCTCGGGGACAACCATCCACAGGTGCAGAGAGGCTCAGCCTCCTCTGCGGGACATGCCCGCACATGGGCGGCAGGGATGGCTCAGGCCTGCCCTCGCCTGCCCTCACCCGCCTTACCCTGCTCCTGGCGGAAGGCCTCAGCCAGCTCTGCCGCCTCTTGCTGCAGCTGGGCCTCCAGCGCAGGCCTGCCGACGCCCAGCCTGCGGAGCGTGGCCAGGCAAAAGCGTCTCTGCTGCCTCCATGTGTGCCCGTTGCTGCAGATGATGCCTGGGCCGGGGTGGGGTGGGGGCGGGCCGTGAGCCCCTCCCAGCCTCCCAGCCCAAGACCACCCTGGCTGTCACCCAGGCCTAGAGGGCAGACACGAGGCAACCTTCCCGACCGGTCAGGCTGGCGTTCCGTCTGGCAGGTCAGGAGCACCTGGGAAGGCCACAATGAGCCTGGTGCCCAGCCGTGCTGTGCCCAGCCTGGTTTGCCTTTAAATGTACCCATGAGAAATGGAGGAGGAGATCAAGGAGGGAAGGAGGAGGGAGCCAGGCGCAGTGCCGGGCACTCCCTGACTTTCCCCACCTTAGGAGGTTGCCCATCCACAGA